TTTTCTAGCAAGCCAGAGGAAGAGCTTTTCAAAATTGTAGTTACTTTTGGCAGAAATGTCATAGTACTGAAGATTCTTCTTTTGGTAGAAGACAATTGATTTTGCCTTAATTTTCCTGTCCTTAATATCAACTTTGTTGCCACACAACATGATGGGGATATTTTCACATTCTCATACCAGATCTCTGTGCCAGTTAGGCACATTCTTGTAAGTAGCTCTCAAAGTTACATCAAACATTATAATGGCACACTGGGCTTCAAAATAATAGCCATCTCTCAGTCATCCAAACTTTTCCTGACCAGCTGTGTCTTGTACATTGAACTTGATAGGTCCTGTGTTGGTATAGAACACAGGATGGGGTGGACCTCAACACCCAAGGTAGCTACATACTTCTCAAATTCACCAGTCAGATGACGTTTCACAGATGTAGTTTTTCCAGTCCCACTATCACCAACCAATACAAGTTTGAAGGGAACTTGGGGTTCTCCTTAGGCAGCCATCGTGATGTTACTTCCAGTAGCGTCTCCAGACACATCTGACTGACTCTATAGACTGACTGAGACCCAATAGACTTATTAAGCATTCTGCCATCACAGAGTAACAATGGATGTGTTACTCAAATTGACTTTTTTTCCCTGTATAATATTTACCAGTCAACCTCACATTTCTCAACTATCTAACATAGTACACTCTATGGTTTTGATTATACAGCTTCTCATGACATTTTCTCTGACCATAAATACTAATTGACTTCCTGTTGTTGGTAAGTCTTCTTATCATTCTTAGTTTTGTGGTTTACCATTCCTATACTGTGGACAAGTACCTCTGGTGTTTCTTCCATTCCTAGCAAAGTAATCAGGTCCAGCTCTTATTAGTTATTAGTTGTAATAGCACTCTTCTTGAACCCTTGGTTAAACTATTCATCCCTCATCTTTCCAATGGCAGCCAATACATATATCCCCAATTCCTGCTATCATTTATGTGATCTTGCTCCACATACTTCCACCCAATCTTATATAATTAAACTGGACAGATCATCTTGGCAAATCCACATTGAGTATGTGATCCTATGAAGATCTGTGCTTTTCATCAGCATAACTAGATTAGGATCTGAAAGCAACAGGAGGGGATCCTAGTGAGAGAGCAGATGTTTTCAGGGCCATTTCTGTAGTTCTAGATAGATGACTTTTTATACAGGCAGGAAATTTGAAAGTATAAAAATGAGTTGTAAATAAACTACCTTTTCCCTAGAAACAGACCCTTTTAAGTTTGTTTACTTTTCATATTATCCATATGATCATGACTGTCAGATTCTTATGTATATATCCAAGATTTATTTATTGTTTTATTTTTTATGATTCTTCTCTACTTCTCCAGTACTTTCTGCCTGCTCTTGAGTAAGATAAACTACTACTGATTTCTTGGCCCCTGTCTAGATCACCTACCTTCTCGACCTTTGGTTTAGATAACATCTACATAGCTCTTTCCCCATCATAACTCCCTCCTGATCATCCCTTTCCCATGTCAACTTTATATCTGTGTCATAACTGTTTCCTCTCCCTCTTGGTTTCTAATTACTGACACCTCTCTGGAGTATATTCAAAACCAGGGTTCTTGAGGTTGGCTTTTGTTTGTTTGCTTTTTTACTTTACATTTAGGTATTAGAAGTGAAAAGTGGTTTAGAAGGAGACACAGTCCTAGATAAGTACTAAAGCCATGTTAAAGAAATAAATTTGTCCATTCTCTTTCCTCTTTGACTAAGACTATAGTGGGAATTTTTTCCACAGAAAACTACATTTAAGTAAAAATTCATCTAATTTAGTTATTTTAAAAAGTTGATACATAAAAAATTGTCACTTTTTAAAAATTTTTTCGAATGGGTTCAGAGGATAGAGGAAGTAAAAACAGTAAGGAAAGTGATAGGTTCCACAGTATAGGCAGAGAAATGTATCTTTTTCTCTTAAATAGATGGCAGGAGGAGGAGATAGATACAGTAACTGAGGTAGATTTAGATGCTGTTCATGAGTATAATGTTATATTCATTAAGTACCATGTGCCTTGCATTGTGCTAAGCACTTTACATTTATTATCTCATTTAATTTTAACAACTCTCCCATGTGGTGTGAATATTATTACTCCTTTATCACTTTACAGCTGAGAGAACAGACTTAAAGGCCCTAAGTTACTTGCCCAAGGCCACTCAGTTTATAGCAGCTCCAGTCTGATTTTCAAATCCACACTCTCAACAGCTCTGCCTTTCTTGGTAGACCTATTCGTGGATGAGATTTATGTTTGTTAAGTAGCAGTAAAGTTCTTTCAATTTATAAAATATCTTAGAAGTTTTCGAATCTAACTGTCTCTATATAACTTTATAAAAAAGGAAAATTGAGGTCCAAAGACATTAAGTAATTTGAATCAAAGCTAGTTAACCAAAAATATTCAGGCAGTGCTTTTCTCCATATTTTAGAGGCTGGAATTATTTAATTTTTTAAAATTACATTTAACAAGTTTTATCAGCTTACAAGTTGTGATGATATTATGATGTTATTCATACTTTATAATTTATCAGATATTATCAGTTTTCTTTTATTTACAATTGCCTATTTTTAAAAAATATAAAAAATTATCTAATGTCATTTATTTATCACTTTATATAATTATACATTTATATATATTAATAAATACTTTAAGAATTTAATACATACATTCTGTATTAGTTATTTTTTATGAAATTAGTATTTTAGAGACTGGTGAGTAAGATTAGAAGAAGGATTCAAAGATTAAAAAATAAAGTTTTGACTAGATAATACAGCAAAAGTGATGGGGTATAAAAGCAAAAGATATTCTTGATGGTGATTTAACTGTAACTCTCAGAAAAAATGGGCCTAAACTATTCAGTAGTATACTAATACATACTTTGCTATTCTACACTGAAATTATATAAAGGAACTGTTGAATGAGCCAGCATTGTTGACAGTGGACTACTACTTACAGATCTTTTTGATAAATGTCCAGATCTAAAAGAGGAAGAAATTGAGGCCGATTGTCCATGAGAAGACACGTCAACTAAATCAAGAAGAGGATACTCTTTTAGTTAAAACTTATTCATATACTATGAATGATAATAACTCTAATAGAACACTCCCAGAAATTACCCATATTAAAGTGTTATTTGGAGAAAAATTAATGATAAGGTTATGGCTCCTCCCCTTACAAATAGCCAATCTAATATATGATCTACATAAAATAAATTATAAAGCATAGATATTGTATGATATAACAGTATGTTGAAATGTATTGTGATAAGTGTAAACAGCAGGGTCAAATCTATTCAGTAGAAAATTGGCTGGAAAGAACTTTCAGTTTTTCTCTTAAATTATCCTAAGACAAGGTAGATCCTAACTGGCTATTAAAAATATGTTAGATAATGAAGACCATGGCTCTGGTCTTCATTATCATGGCTTGAAATGTATTAAAATTGATGAGTAAGTAAGCAGACAACTACAGTTCAATGTATAAAATGCTATGATAGTGCTAAATGCAGGAATCACATAAAGGGGGCACCTAATACCAGACTAATGTGGGATCATTACTTTCCATGATATGAATCCTCAAACATTTAGCATGGAGTATATAGTAGGCATTCATTTATTTGAAGAATTGAAGCATACCTGATTTTTTTTTTTTTTACGCCTGCAGCACCTGGTATTCCTAGATGGTCTCCCATCCAAGTACTAACCAGGCCCGACCCTGCTTAGCTTCCAAGATCAGACAAGATGCAGCACAGTCAGGGTTGATTTTTTTTTTTTTTAAAGCATGAATCTGGACTTAATTTTTGCTTAAAACAATGTCTTTAAACTTTAAATCAAAACATTTTTCTTTATGAATACTTTTCATGTTGCTATAGTAATTTCAATGACTATAAATTAATTAGTATCTATAGCTATCTCTTGACTGTAACTGGTAGTAGACAACAGGAAAGACTTTGTACTTTAGGAAGAGCAATGTCCGAAGTGCACACATGATAAGCATTCAAAAGTAATCACTTAGTTTTTTAAAACTTCAAGATTTATTTAGTAATTTCTCTGCCCACACCATGAAACCCTTTAAAGGAATTTCTTGTTCTAAATTAAGATTAATCGTGAATAAGAGAGAACAGGAAAAATATGATTTTTGTGCAAAATACTATATTAACCAGTGGAATTCTGAACAAGTAAATGAAAGTCATATTCTTGGCAAATCTGAAGAAAAATGGCTTACAAACCTTATATAGTATACTAGGGACACTTTAAATATGATTGGAGTTAGAACTAATGCATATGAAAAATTATATATTAATGCTAAATATTGTGATAATAACTATAAATATGATATGAGTTCATCGATTCAATAAATATTAGGCTCCAACTTGATTATGTACACTACACTAAGGCCCAGAGATACAGAGATTAAAAAATATAGTCTGGGGAGTGTTTTCCTAACCACAATTGTGGTAACATTGTGATTCAGTGCTGCAATAGAAATAGGTACAAAGTACTGTTGTTGTATGAAGGAAAAGCAGCTAATAGTGCAAATAAAGGAAAAATTGATATGGATTGGATTAATCATATAGACTTCATTAAAAAAAAAAAGGCATTGTGATATTTCATTGTGACTGTCTTATTTGCTACCTGATTTTTTTAAAAGGAATTTTCATAGTATTTTTCTGTTTTTTGAAATGAGATTTTAAACCTCCAAAAGGTTTATAAGTCATTTATTAGTTGAGCATGCCAAGAGCTCCTATTTCTCATTATACCACAGTGTACCAATTGTAAACTACTCAGAGCCAGGTAGATATAATTCAGTCATGAAGTAAGATACCGACCTGGTCTACTATTATGTTGTACAGCTCTAACGAGTAGGAATAATTAATATGCTTTAAACCTACAGATTATAAAACTTCTCTTAAATATTAACTATTTTTGACTAATTTAACAGTTCTTTTGTTGTCTCTTATTAAGGGTCTACTGTATTTGCTGGTAACAGACCAGGGGTTTCTTACTGAAGAAAAAGTTGTTTGGGAAAGCCTGCACAATGTTGATGGTGATGGAAATTTCTGTGACTCCGAATTTCATCTGCGGCCTCCTTCAGATCCTGAAACTGTATACAGAGGACAACAAGATCAGATAGATCAGGTAAATTTGTTTTGTCTTCTTCGTATTGCTTAAAATGCTCATTCCTTTCAAGTATGAATTTAGTTATCCAGAACTTTTGAACTAAAGATTAATTCATTAACATACTTGTGAAATTTTCCTTACACTTCCGAAATAGGTAAGCGATCATTCTACATGTACATTAATTATATACTTTGGTTCAGAGGGCCAGATCATATTGAACTGTGAAAGTCATGGTAAAGAATTTGAATTTTATTCTAATTGTGGTAGGGAAAATATGCTAAGTATATCACATGGAAGTGACATGATCTACTTTTTAAAAGGTTGCTAGATGGAGAATACATAGGAAGGACACAGGTATAAGTAGAGACTAGCAGTCCAAGCAGGAGGTAATGATGGCTTAGCCTTGGGTGGTAGAGATGGAGAGAGGAGCACATATTTGAGAGGGATTTTGGCTAATCAGTAAAAGTAGAAAAGAAGAAGTCTTGAAGATAGCATGCACTGGGTAAATAGTTGGTAGGTATTTCTAAGCCTTAGAGCCCAAGGTAATGAAGAGTAGACACAGCAGGAGCTTCACTAGTGAGTAGAATTCACATTTAGAACTGAGACAGATAAGATTTTTGCCTACTATAGTTAAGCAGTCTTGCTGCCACAGATGTGTTTATTACTAGTAGTATAACAGTGATGTGACCTCTTCTCCAATTGAGGCAGAAATATGGCTACATTAAGTGGTTGGCATATGTTTTGCTGATAACAATTTAGGTGCAATTTAAGCGAGTTCATTTAGCCATTATTCATTGAGCAGTTATATTCCTGCCGCTATAACTAGGTCCTAGGGACACAAAGATAAGTCATTCAGTTTTGTCCTCAGATTCTGCAGGGGAAGCAGATACTTGACCAACTAGTGTATGTCAAGTTATATAATGGCAATTTTAATAGCAAGGTATGAGTGTACAGAATACTCGATTAAAACAAATGTAAATCTTTCTAGGACTGTTGGCTTTCTCTTGATAAAGTCATAATAATAAACATACCGTTTTCCTTCAGAAGCTATACACAAGAGCAGTTTTTTAAATATTACTTAAGCAAGATTTTTCTAACCACTATATGTACAAAATATTGGAGCAGAGAGAATGAAGGTAAAGCAGTAGAACGCCACAGAAGGTCTAGTTGTAAGGTGTTGAGATTATATATATATATGTGTGTGTGTGTGTGTGTGTGTGTGTATACATATATGTATTTTATATACGATATATGATAGTGTCTGTGGAAGTAGCAAGGAGGAAGTAGAATTAAGACCATGGGACTTGGCAAAGGGCAGAGTTTGAAGAATTGAAAAAAATTTAAAGGATAAATTCTTGATATCAATAAGATAGTTGTGTAGATAGTACAAGGTCTTCACAAGCAACCTATCCTCTGCGGTTATTTAAAATTCTCTTATTTTGAGGGTAGGTGGAGGAAGTGCACAGAGTAATCCAGTTTCATTCAGCATTAATTTTTAAAGTGGGTATTAAATTAGATAAAATAACTTTTGACCAAAGATGCATCACTTTTTCTCATAAGAAATAATCTGCATGTGTAGGTGGGAGGAGAGAGAGGGATGGTTAAATAATTGAATATGACTATATGGTAGACAACTATGTTGGCTTTAGAAATTATGTTTTAGAAGAATTTTTAATAAATAATCTGAGGAAATTCTTATGATTTTAGAAACAGAAGACTTTCATGACATTAAATGGAAAAGAAAACAGATTAATTACAGTAGTTTCAGGTATTAGGAGCTATTTTGATTTTATATGTGAATGTAGGAAAAAAACTAGATGGATATATATTAACAGTACTTGTTTCTGTATAATAATATTATGGTAATTTTAACTTTCTTATTTATGGTTTTCTGTTTCGTCTTAATTATCTACAGACATGTTTCTTTTGTAAGCAGGGGGGATTTTTTTTAAGCTTCCTCGAACGCCTTATGTACTACTTCTAGAAAAAATTTCAGATAAATTCCAAATATATTTAGAACAATGGCAACATTACTGAAATAAGTTTATACTTTCAAATAGAAACACTTAGATAACTTATTTTTATGATTAAGCTCTGTTCTGTTTTTAAAAAGCCATTCTCATAGCTTTGTAGCTATAACCTCTATATTTACACTGAATAGTTCTTGGGTAAAGTCTCCTAGCTAATGATGGATATAATTTAATTTTTTAGGACTATCTTATGGCATTATCTCTACAACAAGAACAGCAGAGCCAAGAGATCAATTGGGAACAAATACCTGAAGGAATCAGTGATTTGGAGCTGGCAAAGAAACTCCAGGAGGAAGAGGATAGACGGGCTTCTCAATATTATCAGGAACAGGAACAAGCAGCAGCAGCTGCTGCTTCGACTTCTACACAGGCTCAGGTAAAAACTAGTGTTCTGATTCTTAAATATAATGATCATTTCAACAATAAAGAAATTTGTTCTGAGAATTTACTGACTCTTCAGTTATGTCAGCATTTTAGTACCCATTGGGTTGTATAACGTCCAAATTTTATGATTATCTTAATATTTTTCTCATTTAGTAAAGTTATTTTTCTTGAGGTTCTGCTGGCAAGAATTTTCAAATTTATTTTTTAAGTTCTTAATAACTGCGAAGAATATAAACCGATTTCAGCAAAGCCTTTTCTATCAATTAGAAGGTAGTATGAGGTACTATTAGAAAGAATGTATACTTCAGAGCCAGATAGATGTGGATTGGCATTTCCTGCTGCAAACCTTGAACAAAGTTCTCTATCTATAAAATAGAAGATAATATTTAACTCTAAGGTTTGTTGTTGAGAACAACTAAATCCAATGTATGACATATATGAGTATTCAACAAAGATTAGCACTTTCCTACTTTTTATTTTTCCCACTTTGTTTTAAGCACTGAAAATGTGACTATTAAGTGGGTTTCTATATACTAAATCTCATTTCATTAAATGAAAAAAATGTTTCTTTTATGTTTAACTGTTCCATGCCAGAACTGTTCCTTTGATTTGAGTATACAAGAAAGCAAGATGCCCTTTAAGGTCTGATGAAGTTTTAATGAGGTGTCCATTAAAATAAATATAACATTTCTATTTCTAGCTCAAAGAGTGATTACCTCTAGCTTAAAAGGTAAAACCTACCATTTATGATTAGCTTTTAACTAAAAAAGTTCTCTTATTTCACAGAATAAACTTGTTCTATACTCTCAGTTCTCAGGATTTTTTTCTCTTTTTAATATCTTTTTATTATAATGTTTAATGAGGTCTTGGAGAACTATTATAGTTTACCAAATGATGTCACTTTCATTAACATTTTTTAATCTTTAACATAATTTTTTTTCACTGAAAAGGCTCTATTACAGAGGAGATGGGGCTCAGTTCTTCTTGGCTGCTGCATTCCTCATGGCTGCAAGGACATTGCTCAGTTCTTCTGTCTTCCTCTTGGTGCGGATGTGTGTCCCCATCCTTTTCTTCATGAACTAGTCCTTAGGGACTTTGAGCAGCTCTGTGATGCACCACTCATAGGGAGCAGAGCTGCAGACTTCTCGGATCATGTCCCACACAATCTTGGTGTGCTCAGTGAGGCACCCGCGGTGGTGGCTGACTCCGCTTACTCTTGGTCACCTTGTGACCCTTGCTGGGGCCCACGGCCATGGGGTAGTGCAGAGCCATGGCCGCTGCTCCTCAAAGGCTGCCACAGCAGAAGGCAACATAAATATTTCTTGAATTTGAGGCTTCAAGCAGTATAATCCTACATGGCATCATTTATTGTTTGAAATTCTACATACTTAGAATAGGAGATACATTAATTATATCTATCCAGAATGATAGAGGCAACTACGTAGACACCATGTCACATAACAAGTTTGTACACCAATAGCTTCTTTTTCCATTAATTATACCTTTAGTCTTATGGTTTTTCTTTCTAGATAACTATGATTAAGCACCTTAAAAAAATTGAGGTAATTTCTTCCTATTTATTTTTCTTAAAGCAAAGCCAGTCAGCACAAGCCTCTCCATCAAGTGGAAGACAATCTGGGAATAGTGAACGTAAACGAAAGGAACCTCGAGAAAAAGATAAAGAAAAAGAAAAGGAAAAAAATAGCTGTGTCATTTTGTAACAAGTGTTGGATTCTATTGGAACCATCTATGTCTTGAGAAACAATACCAACAGGAGGAAAGGAAGAAAAACCGATAAATACCGTCTGTGCCTGATTTCCCAATGGATTTTGTTCATGTTTTTCAGGGGAAAGGTTGTTACTTAGTTACAATCAAACTTTTTCAAGTCATACAGTACACTCTTCATGAGCTGGAGTTTCATGTTACAAGTTGGAAATGCTGTGTGTTGTCTGTCATTCATGAAAAATATTGCACTTATAGCCAAATAAGCAAATCACAGCAAATTTTGTGTCACAGTGACATTCATAACTCATATCAGTTAGTAAGCTATTTTCTCTTCTGTTCTAACAATGAATGGAGGTGATTGATTTTGTCTGATTCCTTCCCAAAATCTAAATATTAGCACAATAGTTTCTAAAATTAATTTTTACAATATTAAATTATGATCTAATCCGTGAGAAACCAGGGGTTTAACATAGGGATTTAAAAAGCAAAAAATAAAAATAAAAAATATAACAGGAATAAATAACTCTTAATTGTATATTGGACTAGTTCAGCCCTTGAACAGCTTTACCTTTCTTTAGGAATGTACATTTTAGATATTATCTTGAAAACTGATAGTGGAGCTTGGATTTAATTTAAATAGAAAAAAATAAAGATTTGTATTTCTTTTCCAATAGCAAAAAATTACATAACACTAATACTCATATTTTATCACAATCAGATATTATTGACTTTGTAGTGTTGTGACATTTTGAGGAATTTAAAATATAGGTAACTTGCACCATAGTTACTATTTATTGACTATGATAAATGAGAGTAAAAGTGGATACTAGGCTTTGTAAATATGGGGATGTAGAGAAACAGATAGTTCAATGTCTACCTTTTTCTAGTTACCTTGAACCTTAAAATTTAAATCATGTTTATTTGCTAGAAAATTAAGTACACTTATTAAAACCAACAAAAAAGCACATTTCTGAAAGGAAGTTAAAGATAATCTCTGAGTCTAATAAAAAAGTATTAATTAAAAATCTGTTGGAGGAATTTATGTAAAAGCAATCAGATTTTTTTAACTTATGGGAACCAAATAAACCTATAACATCTTATAGTGTTTGTAGGATTCAGAAAGAATATTTATTGAACTTTATTATGAGGCAACACATATTTTCCTGTATTTCTAGATATAGTTTAGAAAACTATCCTTAATAGTCCTTTTTATATGCTTTATATTTAAAAGTTTGTTTTAGTCATTTTTGAAATGACTATTGCTGCTGCAAATATGTGATTTACATTCTAAGCCTCAGTAAATTTGTTGGTTTAAGAGCATCTTAATCTAACTTGAGCATCCACTTGGAGAATGTTTTTTGTGGTCTGGATTGACAATAGACTACAAAAATATGTGGTCTAGATTTCTTAAGCTATGTCTTTAACATTCTCCATGATCCAAGACCAGTTATAGGATTAGTCTATATGTAAAAAGTAAAGTCTTATTTATAGAAGGAATTATTCTAAGGGAAAAATCCAGGGTCAAGCTGTATCTTTTATATCCTTCTATATTGCATGTCTGTTTATGTTATACCGTATGTTATTCCTTCTAATTTTCTATGCTAGCATGATAAATCATCAGAGAACTTGTTTGGGGTATAAAACTTTGATACAAAATATTTGGTCTCTTGATAATAACCCAGAATATGCTTACATTGGTTAAGTTATCAAATGTACCACAGAATTCTCTGTTGGCTCAAACAAGCTGACCTTAGTCCAAGTTTACTCAATAACATTCTGTTGGTTGAAAGAGGAAACTCAAATCTTAGGATTTGTTTTTCCCAGAACAGATAGTAGTGACAGTGCATCGTATTTCAATAAGAAAACAAAACAAAATAAATCTGAGAAACTTTTAAAAGCATATTCGAGGCCTACTTTTCCATAATTATATACTTATCTATTTATTGCCCTTGCAAAATATATGTGTAGAAGTTATTCATTGGTTATTTGCTACTGTTTTCTTAATTTGTTCCAAGGATAGTACTGCCATTCTCCATTCCCTCTGGAGGAAAAAAAACCTCACTCAAAAGCAGCAGTGCTGCTGTCAAATAAGTAGGTGTCAATGTGTACTTTAAGAAGTAACTAAAAAATATCTTGTTTGTTAATTCAGCCTTTTTCTATGTAATATTTCCAAGTCCAACTTTCTTACATTCCTGGAATTGTTTGATATACCAAGAATAATAATGATAAAATGTTTGCTTTGATTACTGTGGGGAGAAAATTAAATGTTCAATTCTATTAAAACAAACTTCTCAGAGATACTGATTTCCCATCCTTGAAGGTTATGAAGAACTTAGTGTCTTTATTTTCTTATATTTTGCTCAAAGCAACAAATTATATATTCAGACATTTCATTGCTGGTTTTGGTACATTGGAATTTGATAGTGGTATATTAAAGTCTTTCTTTCACAGTATTTCGCAATACTTGAAAATTGTTACATGTACACTGCTAGCAGAAGTTAGAACTCAAACATTTTTCTTTTTAATATTTATAGGCTAGATAAGGGGCACATTTGCATCGACCAGTCACCATTAGAGTTAGCAAAAGAGGCACATGAATGAATGATGATCACTGCACTTTCTTCTGCTTTCAAAGCCTATTCCTTAAGATTAGTGACCAGCCTTTATCAACAATATGAAAATTTTCTTTATGTCTAATCCCATTGAACCAACAATGCTGTGATTTAGAGTAAGTTATCAACACTTAAAAGTACATAGTGTGTGTTTCTAAAGCAAGGATCTGTAACTTCTATTAGATTTTCAAAGGATCTGGGAATCTCCCCTCAAATTTAAGAATCACCATTTTAAGAATACACACACTAAGCAGTTTGAAGCAGCTAAAATTAATTGGCTGCTTCCTATAATATGTTGGTCCGTTGTGCTTAGGTAAAGTAACTTCTGTGTTTCAAGGTGTCAGGTTAGTAGTTGAATGAGGCATAGATTTAAGTTTAGGATTAGGTTTTGGAATGTTTTGCTTTATAGTCTCAGATTTCTAGTATTTGACTACTTATCCCTCATGTTTCAAATTCTTCCTCATACTTCATGATCTTAGTTTAATTAAGCAAATTAGAGCTTAGTTGAACCCAACATTAACCATTTTTTATTTGCACAAAACATTTTCTTTTCAATGAATCACCAACTCAGTTCACTAAGTAAAAATCTTGAAAGGAAAGGACTAGAAGTCAAACATATTTAAGGAAAGAATTGTGGTCCCTATGTTAATGTAGGCATATGAAAAGTCAAGGCAAGAATTTCCAGAACTGTCCTCAATGTCATTTATTTAAATTTTTTTTTAAAAAAAAGCAAAAGCAAATTGGTTACATTTCATCTAACTTTCCTATTCAATATACCAGTTATTTTAGACATGATGGAAAAATGGGCTTTACCTATCGCATGATACTTGAGCATACAATTTAAACTGTAATTGTAAACTTAATGTTTGCTAAAGTAAGATGGAGGCATTAAAGATAGAATATAATTTATATTTTAAGGACCTGGAAATGTGGAATTTCAAATCATTTTGTGTCAAAACCTGGTTTTGATCTTGCCATGGGCAAATTTTCAGTGCCTCAATGTACTCTTAGGTATGTGAATAATGCTTACTTTAAGCACTCCTGAATAAAGGGCACAGTATAAGCACAGAGTGTTACTGAAATAATCATAAATATTACACATCTTTTGTTCTTGAATGTGCAGGATTTCCCTCCAATGACAGTATTTGTTAAGCCAGTTTTCAATGCTGTCAAAATCTGTAGAATTATCTTGTCTGAGTATGGCATCATTTCTTCCCAAAATGCATTTTACAGTTGCTTTTGTGTTCTGTGGACTATAAGGTCAAAATCAAGAGTATTTTGGAAGAATAAAAAGCATTAAAAATTTATTTTTTCCAATATCTTTCATATACCTAAATATTTAGATTCTGTTTGATTTTCCTCCATGGAACAAAGTACAATGGTATCAGGTTGCTAATACCATATATGTAAACTTTATTGCATGGATGGAATTCATTTAGATCTCTCAAGTACTATCATTGTTAGGGCTATTTAAATTTTGTTTTTTAGTATAAAAGTTATTTGATAATATGCAGTTTAATTCCTTTTAGAAAGTGACAAAATGGTAAAGGAACTCAGAATCAGTTCTTAGATTCTCTGGTAATTTAGTGTTTTTGCGTGTGTGTATGTGTGAGTTTTTTTTTGTTTTTGTTTTTGTTTTACTGAAGTCAAGTACTTATGAAGCTACTGGGAAAACATGAAGAATTGAGGTTACTCTCCTCGGCTGACACTATAAAACAAACTAAAATTTAAAATCGAAGGCTTCCTGAACAAAATATATTGCAAAATAGAGATAATGGAGTCTGAGTCACAAATTGCAGGACTCTGATAAATTTAACTCTGAAGATCTATCTAAATTTCAGTTCGGGCATGTATCTTAATCGTGGTGTTTCTGCTGTTAAGAAATTAGAGTTTAATAAATTGTGGTACACATATATATTTTTACATGATGGATTCTAGTTTCACTTCTCAAAATTTCACTTCTCAAAAACATGCAAAAACAGTAAAAGTCTTCAACTACTGCCTCAAGTTCAGCTTCATCCTATTCTGAGAAGGATTTAGACTTGTCTGCCTTTAACAGATGGTTTTTAGGGAATGGGACTATCAGATAAGGTGTTGAAATACTATGACAAATATAAAACCTAGCTTTAAACCACAATAGATTAAAGAACTAAAAGTTGTATTATTTTTCTACACAAGTCTACTTCATGCGATACTAATTCTAATAATTTTTTCAAATCACCTAATTTTTCACCATTGGCTTTAAAAACTTAAATCCATTCTCACTGTAATACCCTACTTTCAGAGGCAAGGATGCCTCCTATATTAGAGGTTGTACAAAATAAAATTGTTATGAAGATGATCCTGGCTTCTTTGGCTTTAGTAATTACACCTTCAAATAGGAAGTCCGGAAACTGAGATGCCCATTTGAATTTTCAAATCAGCTAGCTCTTTAAATGGATGTTATAAAAAATAACTGACAGAGCAGTTCTAATTAATGAGATGTGTTCTAAGACTAAGATTCACATTTCATTTTTGAAGGTGTTCTGTATGTCTCTCGATTTTGTCAGTTTTTATTGTTTCTTACATCTTGTGTAAAATAACTTTTTGCTCAGAGCATATAGGATATAAGATATATCTAAGCTTCACAGATTTTTAAAGGTGAGGATTTGAAAAGCTTCCAACAGTTTTTGTTAAAAGGATAAGTTCCTCAATAAAATGACAATTGTTTTCACAGATCCACACATAAGTAGGACACTACGATAGAAGATTGATGTGATTGCTACACAACGATCAGTACAAGGGATAATCTTTACTTGTGAAACTTCAAAGGAACCCTGAAAGTCATTTCCTAAAGTTAGTGCATGTGAGTCTTGTTTCCTTGAATTGTGCAAGTAATTGGATTGTGGCACATATTTTGTGGAATAGCAAGTGAAATGTTATAGACTGCAGAGAAAGTGATCTTGAAATCTAGCAAGAAGAAACAAGTTTTTTTCCTCTACTGTCAGACCATTTGGGTCAAAAAATTGCTATGACACATCAGAGATCTCTTTGTGCCAGGCTAAGATTGGCCAACTGAAATAGAGATTTCAAAGAGTTTAAATATATAGATTGTGTATGAGTGCCTATTTTTTCTCCTCCTTCCTTTTACTATTTTAATGCCCTTTCTACTTCTGAAATAATTTATGTTTTGCTTTATGACCAGCTTTAATTCCAGTTTAAGGATAATAGCATCTCTAGAGATTGATAGGAAAGAGCACTGAAATACATTTTTTAATATAGATTTTAAAGCAACTACCCATCTTAGGATTGAAATGAATTGCTAGGAAAAAAGTTATTGTCTTAAATGCTAATTATGTTAAAACTATTTAATTCTAAAAACTATATCTTAAATAAGTTTCAAATTTTTCACTTTTGGAAGATTTTCCTTAAAAAAGCATATTGAACATATTAGTTTAAAATGTTTCTGACAGAATTATTCAGTATTATTCAACATTTAATTTCATGTTTGTTACTGTACACAAGGATGGTGTCATTCTTGGATTAAAATGTTGGATTTCTTGTTACTAAAAACTGTAACCAGTGATAATACCCTTAGTATTTTTTATTATAGATTATATTTTATTTCAATAAACTTTGATATTTAGACCAAACAGTCTTTCTGCTATGTATATTCACCTCATTAAGCTACTACTTATAAATTTAAAATGAGTGGGGAAATGGGGAATTGATATGTTGATTCAAATTTACAAAGGATTAAATCAATATACTTGGCCAACTCTTGATAAAGATAAATTCCCCCTCCCCCACACACACACCCTAGGCTGTGAATAAAGAAACAATGAACTCTAGACCATATACTAGATTAACTACCTGATCCCAATGGTAGACTTGATGTATCTGATATTTTTATCCTCTTGGAGGACTTAAGTTAGAAAGAGCTGAGAAGGGATCATTTTGTCTTTACACCAAGCCAACCTTAATGTAAAGTCTTTGTCAACAATCTAATGTCCAAACCAGCTAATATATGACATTTCTCTGTGAAAGTTTTAGACTCCCCAGCCCTCTCAGCAGAATTAATCATTCCACAGTGTTTTGCTGACTGCCCCTCATTGTAGCACTTTAGATTGTGAGCCTTTTAAGGACACAGATCATGTGTCTTGATTTTCTTGAGTACCTTAAATGAACTATTTTCACTAGTACTTTAAATGAACTCAAATATCTATTTACAGGAATTTTTTTTAATACGTACATATTATAGTTATTGCTTACCTGTGCTTTAAAATAAGTAAGGTAAGTGAGCTGGATTATTGAATCAGTTTTCTCCTTTAGCTTAAAAGTTATATACTTGGAACTAAACTCCTTAACCGTTTATTCACCCCTCCTCTCTGATTTTCCCTGGGTACCATCCTGAATCTTCCTAGAGCCAATGGAATGACACATGGGGAACAGCAGCCTCAACAAAACCAAGGTATACAACATTGTTCTCCCATTTCACAGCCTTCTCGCAGGGTCTTTTTCCTTACTTTACATTATCCTATGAAGCAGGCACCTATTAATTTATTGTAGCTGAGATTTGAAGTCAAGTAGTCTGAATCCAGAGCCTGCCCTCACAAATATACCTGGAAGGGGACAGATAAGTCCAAGCTGCGTCTGTGTTCAAATTCTGACTCTAGACTTTTTAAGTCACATATGTTTTAAACCCTGCAGAAATCTTCAAAATTGGGCCTATTAGCCCTTTTTGTACTTTTTAGTCCTAGATCAAGTTAATTCTGCACAGCCTGTTTTCTAATCTCTAAAATGGAATAATTTCTACCTCTCAAAATTGTAAAAATTAAATACAAAAAGGGTCATATACATAATAGACAGTCAATAAATTATAACAGATTGTTAATAACAGACTAGGGACTTTTTAAATCAAGCCAAGAACTTTAAATGAGGAGTTTTAAGTGTTGTACACTTTTAGTGGATAAACTGTATGGTGCATGAATTATATCTCAATAAAGCAGTTTTGAAAAATTTTACTAAATAGAATTCATATGTATATATGAACATCATATATATGATTATATATAACATACATCATAACCAAGTAGGAATTTTCCTTGGTATGCAAAGTTGATTTAACATTCATTATCAATGTAATTCACCGTATTAACAGAATGAAGGGGAAAACCCATATGATCACCTCAATAGACACAGAAAAAAGCATTTGACAGAATTCCATACTGACTTGTAATAAAAACTATTAGCATGTTAGGAATAAAAGGGAACTTCTTCAACCTCATAAAGGGTATAAATGAAAAACAGTTGACATCACACTTAATGAGGGAAGACTAAAATGCTTTTCCCCTAAAATTGGGAACTATGCAAGAATGTCTGCCCTCACTACACCTACTTGACATTCTATTGGAGATACAAGCCACTGCAAAAAGGCAAGCGGGGAAAGGGCGTTTACACTGGTAAGGAAGATATACTGCTTTTTTTTCAGAAGGCATGATGGTGTACATGGAAAACCCTGAGGCATCTACATAAAACTAGTAGAATTAATAAGTGAATTTAACAAAGTCACATGATACAAGGGTCAATATACAAAAATTATGTTTCTTTGTACTAGCAATGAACAATAAAAACATTTAAATACCATTTATAATAGTACCATAAATATTAAATACTTAGGGACAAATTTAACAAAAATGGGTAATCTACACAATGAAAATTATAATACATACATTGCTGAGAAATATTAAAGAAGGCCTAATAAATGAAGAGATATACCAATTATGGATTGAAAAATTCAATATTGTTTGTTAATGTCAGTTCTCCCCAAATTTATCTATATTTTCAACACATTCAAAATCTCAGCAAACTTTTCTTGTAGAAATTAGTAAGCTGATTTTAAAACTTATATAAAAAGATTAGCCAGAAAAATTTTGAAAAACATAACAACATTGGAGGAGTTAATGTTACCTGATTTCAAGACAATATAGAGCTACTGTAATCTAGACAGTGAGGTATTGGTGAAGATATAGACATACAGATCAATGGAACAGAATAAAGTCCAGAAGTAGATTCACACATATAGGGTAAATTGATTTAAAACAAACAAAAAGGTGCTAAGGTAATTAAATGGGAGAAAAGATAGCCTTTTCAACAAATTATACTGGAAAAACTGGCTATCCATATAGAAGAAAATGTTCCTCAACCTTTAATTTGTGCCACACATAAATCAACTTGAATAAATTTTATCTAAATGTAAAAGCTAAAGCTATAACAGTTTTAGAATAAAACAGGAGGAAAACCTATGTGATCTTGGGGTAGGCAAAAATTTCTTAGGACAAAAATATTCAGGAATTTTGAAAGAAAAAAGCTGATAAACTGAATTTCATCAAAACTAAAATCTAGACTTCAAATGATACCATTAAGAAAATGAAAGGCAGGCCACAGATTGGAAGGAAGTATTCCTAATATATACCTGATAAAGGACTGGTAACCATGATACATAAAGAGGTCCTACAACTCAAAAAGAAGACAAAAAACACAATTGAAAATAGGGTAAAGATTTGAACAGATAATTCACAAATAAAGATATATCAGTGGTCAAGAAGCACGTAAAAACATGCTCAATATCATTAGTCAGGGGAATGAAAGCTAAAACCACAGTAAGATAGTTCTATGCCCACTAAAATGGCTAAAATTAAAAAGATTGACAATACTAACTCTTGGTGAGTCGGTGGAGCAATTTGGACCCTTTACATTGCTGATGCATAATAGTACAACCACTTCAGTAAACTCTGCCAGTTTCCTGTAATGTTAAACATATGTTTACTATACATATTATACATAATAATATATATATATCCCAGAAATTCCACTCCTATTTAGTCAAGAGAAATGAAAACATATGTATACAGACTTATATACAAATATTGTTTTATTCATATTGAAAAACTGTCAACTCAAATTCCCGTCAATAATAGGTGAATGCGTAAAAACCTGTGACACACCAATACAGTGGAATACTACCAGCAACAAAAATAAGGAACTACTGATACAATACAAAGCAACATGGCAGAACTGCAAAAACATTGCACCAAATGAAAGGAGCCAGGTCCAAATGACATTACTGTATGATTCTCTTTACAGGAAATTCTAGGAGACATAAAATCTGTAGTGATAAAAGATAAGTGGTTTCCTAGGATGGGAGATATGGATTGTGATGACCAGGAAAGGCCACAAGGAAAACTTTTAGTGATGGAAATATTCTGCATCTTAATCAGTTGTGGTTGCTTGGGTACATACATGTGCCAAAACAAATTAAATTGTACACTTAAAATATGTGCATGATATCATTTGTAAATTTTACTTTAAAAAATTTTTATTTCTACATACTAGCAATGAACAGTTGAAAACTGAATTTTTAAAAATTCCATTTATAATAGCATCAAACAAGATAACTACTTAGATATAAATTTAGCAAAATATGACACATACACTAAAAACTGGAACTTTAGGTACTTCATTTCTGTCATTCTATGTGCCCACTTAGAGATTTTATGTTTAAGTTTTTAAAATAGTTAAACAGAAAACTAGAAAGTATAATTAGTTTTGCTTGGTAAGTGCAAATTTGTTGATACAAAAATATTTTACCAAATTGTAATATCTTTTAAAAACTTTATTTTTAAATTAAAGAAAAAACAAAGGAAATGCTTAATACAGAAGTTAAATTTGTCTTATGGAGGATATGTTACTGTGGTATCAAATATATTATATATTCTACTAGTCATATTCTACTGGATGAAATGGCTTGATGTTCTTATAAGTATGTACCTATGTTTGAGTCTTGGTTCCATCACATGCTATCTTTATGATTTGAGGCAAACTGTTCCTTATTAGTCACACATGTAAACTGCCAATAATAATAGTACCTACATGTTAATCATAAGTTTGTTGTTAAAACTGAGTTAATGCGTGTAAATTGTACAATGCCTAGCACATAGTAGGTGGTCAATTAATAGTAACTTCTGTGATGACATTTAACAAGCCTGACACATAGTAAGCTTGAAATATTAGTTACCTTACTATGCGACAAGATTTTTTTCCCTTTAGTTTCCTGTAATTGATTAGAATGATCAATTTCCTATACTTTGAATTTTTATTATGTTAGACAGTAGGAATCATAAGGTCATAAAACTATGGATAAAGAAATCGGAGTCCATAAAGGTTAAATTATATGCTCCAGATAGTAGGATCAGTCTGACTCAAGACCTTCTAACTCTTTATCTCATTTCTTAATCTTGTGTCTGGCTATAACCGTTCTAAACCCTTTTCAAGGGTGATGCTCTAGTTAATAAGATGAAAAAAAAAGTACTGCTTATCTAAATAATATACTATTAACATTTCACAGTTCAACCAGGACAATTCTGAAAGCTCTGGACACAAGTGCCTAAAGCTGATGTAGAGGTTCCCCTTCCCCCACCCCAAATGGTTCAACTATATCGAGTTATTAATAATCAGTTACCTAGAAAATTACATTAATCAGAGCATTTCATCCCACTGGCATAAGACGGGGTTTCTAAAACTAAACGACATGCGTTGAAGCAGTGATAAGGAAAATTCTACTACCCATAAAATTCCCAGCTGCTCTTCAAAG